CCTAAAATCCTTTCTCAACAATGTTATTACAGTGATCTGTCTAAAATGTCAGAATATATGTCATCATGTTACTCCTCAGTTTTCTAAAGTTTCTATGGCTGACTGTTGGCTAAAAGATTAAATCCGAAATCCTGAGAGTGCTACATTATGTCTTTCAAAATCTCACACTTGTTTCCTTTCCAAATGGATACCCTTATATTCCGCTCCCACATCCATGAATGGTAACAACTAGATAAATAAAATCATGTACCATTAATTGATCACAAAATTACATTGAAGCACTCTCAAATTCAGCTTCAGTCAAAACTAAAAGCGAGACAACCCATTCTCACAATACTTTCCCTCCTAGGAAACTTCAATTTATCATATGAATTGGGGTTCAAGTATCACCTCCCATAAACAGTGTTTTCTAAATTTACCTGATGTCACTATTTAATTCCTCCTCCATACAGTCAATATACCTTACCTATGCCTGTCTTTGCTTCTTGTCACATTATAATGCTATGCTATTATTTATTATGTGGCTACTGTTTCATTAAACTATGAGCTCACTGCTAGCCTAGAAGAATTTCTTAAGACATATTTTATAAATACTACTAATAATACAAAGAGCTAACCATCACTGAATCCTTAGTGTTTTTCAAGAACCACAGGCATTATCTCATTTCATCCTCCCAAAAACTTTCCAGGAATAGACCATCATGTGCTACTATCATCCCCATTGTACAAACAAGAAAAGTGAAGTCATTTTTTTCTGATCTTACACAGATAATAGCATTATCATCAAAACTCAATCATAGATGTACTGATCCAGTGCTGTGGTTGTTAAGCCCTTCAATATAAGAAGATGATTAATGTAAGTTAGTCCTTCTTGTACTTCAAGGGAATTTTTTTTCTTCCCAAACAGCAGTATCCTTGATGTATCTATCTATCCATGAAATAAAGGTCTGTGTTTCAAAGAATATCTCTCAGATTTCTAAATATTTTATTCCCAATAGCTGTATCACTCCTTCAACTTTTTACTTGCCCTAGTTTACCCAGTCAAGCTAGAAATTTTGAAGCTTAGGGTTGTTCCAATTGTAAATAGTTGCTGTTCAGATTCTGATTTTGAACCTGATGATTCATTCAGGTCTTTAAACTATTCAACTCAATGTTTCAATTATTGTTGAAAATAATGAACTGAATGGCTCTTCAAAACACTCATCTACCTTTTGCCACACCATGGGAGCAATTCTTCTCCCAAGAAAGACTTAAGAGGAAAATCTGCAAGGGGTAAAGGGGTTTTGCTGTTAGCACTAATTTTAAGGTCACAGTCTGCACACACAGAATTCAGAGAAGGAGGAGTTGATTCAGCAAGTTCCAGTAGTAAGAAATTAAATGTTGATAATCCCATTCTAAATAATTGCTTAACTTAGTTTCATCACTAGTTCTCCCAAAACCAGTTTGTATATGTGGACACAACCTAAATGTGTTTGGTTTCTCAAATTTCTCTCTATCCTTGTAGACTTGGAATGTGAGTTAGAAGCTTAGGGCCATCTACATTGGGAGTTCTCATTTTAGGGAACCCAGGTAAAAGCAAGTAGAGTAGTACCCCTCTACCCATGGTTTTGCTTTGGGCAGTTTCAGTTACCTGAGGTTAATCACAGTCCAAAAATATTACACAGAAAATTCCAGAAATCAACAATTTGTACGTTTTAAATTGTGTGCTGTTCTTAGTGGTGTGATAACATTCCACACCACCCTGCTTTGTCCCACCAAGAACATAAATCTTTCCTTTCTCCAATGCATCCACACTATACACTCTACATGTCAATCAGTCACTTAGTAGCCATCTAAGTTATCAGATCAACTGTCGCAATGTTTGTGCTCAAGAAAACTTTATTTCACTTAACAATGGCACCAAAACACAAGAGAAGTGATGCTGGTGATTCAGATATGCCAAGGAGAAGCCATAAAGTGCTTTCTTTAAGTGAAAATGTGGAAGTCCTTGGCTTAATAAGGTAAGAAAAAACATTTTGTGAAGTTGCTAAGATCTACAGTAAGAACAAATCTTCTAGCCATGAAATCGTTGAAAAAGAAAAAAGAAATTTGTGTTAGTTTTGCTGTCACACCTTAAACTGCAATAGTTACAGTCACAGTGTGTGACAGGTGATTGGTGAAGATGAAAAAGGCATTACATTTGCGCATGAAAAACATAAACAGAAAAGTGTGTCCAGATGTATGGCGTTGTGTTGCATCAGGACGCATTGTGCCTATACAATGACTTCAGGAAGGGATTCCCTGAACTGACTGACACCAAACCGTTTACTGCAAATAAGGGATGGTTACACATATTCAAGAATAACTTTGGACTGAAACATAAAAATTAATGGAGAGATTGCACCTGCCAATGAGAATCTGCTGCCATATTTCTGCCAAAATTGAAGAGTTTGATTAAGGAGAAAGAATACCATACAAAGTATGTCTTCAACTGTGCTTAAACGAGGCTGCTGTGGAAGATGATATCCAATAGAACCTATAGTTGTTTAAAAAGAAAAAATAAAAGTGCAAACAAGGCACCAGAGCATAAACCATGGAAGGCCCCAAATAACTCTGGTACTATGTGGCAACACTGTGAAGATATAATAAAATCTGGAGTAGTGCACAGAACAAAGAACCCACAAGCCCTCAAAAACAAAAACAAAAATTATCTGCCTTGAGTCCTTGCAATATAATCAGAAAACATCGGTAAAAGTCATCTTGTTTATGTTCCACCAATGTTTCATCTCAGAAGTTAAAAATAAAATACTTGGAAGGGGAAGAATTGGAACTTAAAGTCGTATTAATAACAGACAATGCACCTGGCCATCTTCAATCTGTTTGCTATGAAAATAAAAACGTCAAGGTTGTATTTTTATCTTTAAATACAACCACATTACTTTACCTCCTTCACTAGGGCAATATTCAATTTCTCAAGGCCATGTATGACCTCTCCCTGCCCCCACACTATCTATTTGATTGGATTTGATCAGCAATTGATGCAGAGTCTGAGCTGGCATAAGGTAGTGCTGGAAATCATTCTTCACTGTTGTTGATGTAATGACTCATTAAAGTGACAATGAATAAAATAAAACCAGAAATTCTGAGTGCTTGCTGAAAGAACTTATAAAGTTGTGAATAACTTTAAAGGCTTCCCAGGAATCAAGGAAGAAGTTAGAAAAGCCATTCATGCAGCAAGACAAGTTGGTAGAGAAGGATTTGTCAAAATGTCTGATGAAGAATTGGAAGAACGTATTGAAGGCCATTAAGAATGGTTAACAAATAAGTAATAAAGAGAACTGTTGAGTCATCTGCAAAGGAAGAGGAAGATAAAGAAGAAAAGACCGAAGGAGAACCAGTAAAGTGAACATTACCAAAATTTGCCAAAGTGGTTAGAATTGCACTGACATTAAAGGACAAAATTTTGGAATACAATCCTCCAGTGGAGCACAGCAATAAAGTCAACTTTATGATCATCACAAGATTACAATTTATGAAGCAGCACTTTGACAAGTTAAAAAGAGAGAACAATGTTCAGTTACAATGTTCTTCCAAAAGGTTTTGGCAAAAAGCTTTCAACTATCACGGATCCCCAACCATAAACATTGTCTGCTCCTGACATCCAATTATTTACATCGCTATGGCCTGATGATCCAGGATCACCTAAAGCAGATAATTCTCCTGACACATCGTCAGAAGGTCAATATAAATGCTTCTCAACCTAAGATAGGGTTACTTCTGAATAAACCCATTGCAAATTGAAAACATCATGAGTTGAAAATGCATTAATACGTCTAACTTACTGGCTTAGCCTAGACTACCTTAAAGATGCTCAGAACACTTGCATAAGACTACAAAATCATCTGACAACACAGCACTCTGTGGAGTTTTGGTTGCCTCATGAGGGCATGGTTGACTAGGACCTGGGTCTCACTGCTGCTGTTCCGCATTACAGAGTATTATACTACTTTCTACTGAATGATACAGCTTTCGCACTATGTTAAAGTCAAAAAATCATAAATCATATTATCATATGTTTGGCGACCATCTGTAGTAGCCTAACACTACGTCGCAATGCCTATGTAATTCACCTCCTTGATCTCATCATGTAGGCATTTTATCATCTCACATTATCACAAGAATAAGGGCGACTACAGTAAGAGAAGATATTTTGAGAGAGGGAGAGAAGGACCCCATTTACATCACTTTTATTACAACATATTGTTATGATTGTTCTGTTATTAACCATTATTTTTGTCAATATTTTTCTGTGCCTAATTTATAAATTAACCTTTATCAAAGGTATATATGGATAGAAAAAAAATTAACATATACAGGGTTCGCTATTATCCATGGATTCAAGCATCCACTGAGGGTCTTGGATTGTATCCTCCGCAGGTAAGACTGGAAGACTGAATGATTTGTGGGTTAACACTTCTTTTGCCACACCCACATTTGTAAACTTAAGTAATATAGTAAGTAAAGGAAGTGTTACTAAATTCAACATTTATCCTGACATTGGTTTGACTCTCTGAACAAAATCATAAAAACAGAAAGATTACTTGAAAATATGTCTGGTTCATAATCAGAGGAAAGTGTCAGCTCTGACAAATATATGTGGTATATCTTCTTTCTTCAGAGACTCCTCAATGTCTCCCAGAAAGTTGTGTTTTCTTTCTCTAACTCCTTGAGAAATTAAATCCACCTACCATGTGATTTGGAGAAACGGATGAATGTTCATTATAGTTCCTTGAAAACAACACAAGGCTAACAAAAATGGAAAGAACACAAGTTCTTAGAGAGCTTAAATTGGGGCCTAGAAAGTTAGAGCTGGAAGGGGCCTTGAGCATAAGCTAACACACATTTTATGCATAAGTTGAGAACCAGGAAAGAGAAAGGACTTGTGAGTCTCATAGATTGTTTGAGACAGAGCTGAGCGCCAAGCCTGCGGCTTCACTCTGAAACTCTGGACTGGTACTCACCACATTCCCTGAGACTGGACATAAGGATGAGGTGACCAAAGCGGATAATGCCATCTCTGCTGTCCCTGAAATTTAGAAAGAGAAATTTATCCAAATATGCAAGAGGGCAGTAGATATGGGCTTGCCCTCATACTTTTTCTTTATCATACTAACTTCTATTATATTTAGAGCTAAGAATATAATGCTAAATTAAATATGACTTGCAATTTAGAAATAAACTATTTCAAATATGACAAAGAGTTTTTAGTGTCAGCTCTAATATTCTCTTTCACTGTCTTCATTGATCAAAAGTCCATTTATGAAAAGGAAACAAATCATGTTAAATGTCAAGAAGTACTTATTTCTCTGGGTACTGGGATTAAAGAGTAATCTTAGTTTCCTATTGCTGAAATTACCACAAACATAGTGGCTTAAACAATGCAACTTGTTATCTTACAGTTCTGGAGGTAAAAAGTCCAAAGTGGATAGGCGGGGTCATATTACTTCTGGAAGCTCTAAAGGAGAATTCATTTTCTTGCCTATTCCAGCTTCTATAGGTTACCCACATTCTTTGACTCACGGCCTCTTCCTCTTTCAAAGCTAGCAGGGTAGCACCTTCAAATCTCCCTCGGTCTCCCTCTTTTCTTTTCTCCAATCTGTGCCTCTATAATCACATTTCCTTCTCTCACTGTCCTCTGCCTTATTTTTATTTATTTATTTATTTTTGGGCAGTCTGGCTCTGTCGCTCAGGTTGGAGTGCAGTGGCACGATCTGCGCTCACGGCAACCTCTGCCTCCCAGATTCAAGCAATTCTCCTGTCTCACCTCCTGAGTAGCTGGGACTACAGGCACATGCCACCATGACTGGCTAATTTTTGTACTTTTACTAGAGACAGGTTTTCACCACATTGGTTAGGCTGTTCTTGAACTCCTGACTTCAGGTGATCCACCCTCCTTGGCCTCCCAAAGTGGTGGGATTACAAGCGTGAGCCACGGAGCCCTGCCTCTGTCTTACTCTTGTAAGTGCCTCTGTGATTACATTGGACCCACCTGGATGACCCACCTGGATAACCCAGGATACGATCCCTATTTCATGATCCTTAACGTAATCCTATCTGCAAAATTCCCTTTGCCATGAAAAGTCACATCATATTTATGGGTTCTGGAGATCAGGATGTGGACATCTTTGGGAGCCATTTATTCCACCTACCACAAACCCCCTTTTATCAAACTCTTCTGATTTATTCCAAACATTCTAAATTTCTCCTCAATCTACCACCTGTTGACCCCCAAAGCATTTTTTAATGTCTCTACAGTGTGCGCGAATATTCTACTTACTATTATATCCATTAATATCCTCGACTCTTTCCCCTCTGAACTTTAAACATTATTAATGTCTTTTCCCCATTCTCCCTCGTTTTTATGCAACTATTAAATATGAATGGAGCCACAACATTCGTGTTCTAACAAGGGAGTGATGAACAACACAAATGAGGACCCTACCTGGGGTAGCTTTCGTAACAATGAGAAGATTAAAATACATTTGCAGGCCGGGCGCGGTGGCTCAAGCCTGTAATCCCAGCACTTTGGGAGGGCGAGGCGGGTGGATCACGAGGTCAGGAGATCGAGACCATCCTGGCTAACATGGTGAAACCCCGTCTCTACTAAAAATACAAAAAACTAGCCGGGCGTGGTGGCGGGCGCCTGTATTCCCAGCTACTCGGAGGCTGAGGCAGGAGAATGGCGTGAACCTGGGAGGCGGAGCTTGCAGTGAGCCGAGATCGCGCCACTGCACTCCAGCCTGGGTGACACAGCGCGAGACTCCGTCTCAAAAAAAAAATAAATAAATAAAATAAAATAAAATAAAAAAAATAAAATACATTTGCAGATGAATATATAAGCAAAATAATTAGAATTTTTTTCTAAATGCTGGGAGAAAAATAGGCAGAGTGACACAATAGAGTAAAAGAGAGAAGGATGACAAGATTAGCAGTGTAGTTCCTTCTGAGGGTTATAAATCAGGCCAAGCCCTGAAGTGAGAGAACAAGGTAGAGTAATATGGAACCCGACTGAGGAAGCAATGTGGATAAAGATGCCCTAAGTCATTTCCTACAATATTTCTAATAGAACCATGAACAAACCAGTGCTGCCTAGTGGCCTAAGTACTTATTTAGAACTTAGGAAAAAATAATAGACATAATAATAGGCCTCAGTTTCATCATCCTATATATTATGGTATTGAATTATAAAATCAGATATTCTAAATGTTCAATGAATATGTATGCAACTTTTATGTAGTTTTAGATATGTTGTCCTTTGCGATATCAAAAGGCAAAGGCATTTGGCACTAACGTGCTGCTTTATTTAGTTGTGCCTGTATGCGTGTGTCTGCTAAATGTGGAGCCATTAGAGTGTTTCATTCCAGGAATCATCAAATAAACCAACTGACTAAAAAATAATTACACATTTATTATGGTCATCTAAGTCTACATCATTATCATGTCTGAAATGAGACTTCTGATTCTTTTGTGCTCCTAATAGAGGTGCATGCACGGCCAGAGTTTATTGCTCTGACTCAGACATGCTGTCCACAAGCTACATTCATCCTATTGCCACCTCTCAAGGCTGGGAAATTGTCTAACACTGCTGACCTCAATATGGTTTGGATTCTACTCAATATCCAGGAAAACAATATAGATCATTCTTACTTGATCATAACAAGACCGCTCAGCTCTATTTTACAATGGCCATAAGTAAAAATAAATAACCAATTTTGCCTGAATGAAATAAAATCAATACTTCTCTTTTGCAATATGCTTCTGAGGAAGAAAATCCACAAATTTGTCTTATTTCTAAAGGTCTGGCGGCAAATCACTCAAAAGTATAGTTTTTGTTTTTTTTTTTTTTCAAGTCACTGTGAAATGAGCCAAAACATGTCATCCAGATTTTGCATGTGCCCAAAAAGCTTATAGTGGCTCAACTTAAAGTAATTTTTATGGATGATTACAATGAATATGTATATATCCTCATGCTCCTTAGAAGAACACAGTCTAATTTTCTTGTGACAAAGCAGAACATAAAATGAGATTTATCTGTATTCCCACAATATCTATTAGGTGCTGTGGAGATGGAGATCAGGTAAACTACCTGCTTATTCAGTAAGACGTTATCACTGATAGCATTCTGACACTTAACGATAAACACAGTTATGGCAGCACAACTATAAAAGATATTCTTGATTTTTGTTTTGTTCTGTTTTTTGTTCTTTCCTTCTTAAAACCCCAAGTTAAGAGTAGTAGTTATTACGTGACAATATGAAGTTTCTTCTTACAGATATTCATCAATTTTTCTGATTCCTTAGTAAATGTTTAATTAAGGTTCTTAGGCAAGTGAAAAACATAAATACAGTTGAGGAACTAGCTTTATAAAAGTCATAGGCTGTTAGAAGTTGAAAAGATATCTGTTCCACCCAATGATTTTGCAAAACTAAAAGTAAATAAAAATAAATGCAATTTCAAATATTTTCATGTTTTACAATTTTTTTCAATTAAAAAATTTAAGGAAGTTTGTAGATGTTATATAATAACCAAAGAAAGGTACATGGACAATAGTATGTAACTTTTACTTGTTTTGTTTGTTTCATTTTGTTTATATTTCTTATCTGCTGATTAAGCAAGTTGAATATTATGGGGATAAATGTACTATGACTTGTAATAGGAAAGAATGTTCCTTCTTCTAATTTGTCCTAGTGAAACAGCAGAACCAGCTACTTCCCAATTCTACCTACAGGATATCATGAAATTCACTGTTTAGAAATATCATTAGCACTTAAATATCACTTAGGTGGCTTTTAATTAAAATAAAAACAGCATAACATTCCTGATACTTTTGAAGATTTGTTTTCCTTATATTAAAAATAGTTGCATCTGTACTTTTGAAGCATGGGTCCAACTATTTTTAAGAAAGCCTCTACATATATAATTGCAGAAAGAGAAGTACAACAGTGTCTAATTCTAAACTATAAAATAAAAACTAAACATCCCCACCATAAAGAGGAGGACACTCTTCCTCACGTCTCTCTTCTGCCCTTCTATCCCAAGGATATCATAAGAATGAGTCTGATATCCTCCCTCCTTTTATGTACCCATTCATGAATTCACACCAGCTTTAGAGTAGGGTAAAATATAAGACACCCTCTGTTGCAACTTTTTGGAAAGGCATTTTAAAAGGAAATATGGAGTACATTTCCCTTGGGTACGGTAAAAAGCACTAAAATGGAGGTTGGAATCCTGAATTTTAATCCTGGCTCTCTCCTTAACTCTAGTAATACTGGCCAATTTATGAATTTCCTTTTGCCTCAATTTACTTATATAACAGAAAGGGATTAGACCAGATATTCTCCAAGCCTCTTTTCAGAATAAACTCCAGATTTCAGTGCTCTTGACTAAGAAGCAATTTTCTTCTTTTCTTCAGCCTGGAACTCATTTCATATAAATGACCTCAAGTTGCAAAACCCTCCATCGCTTGCCAGCTGAGTGTGCATAGCTGACCTCCATTTTATACCGCCTGTGTCTACATGGCTGACTGAATTGACTATTTGCAAGTCAGCCTCCTAGCAATTCATCTTATCTTTGCAAGTTGGTCACAATTCAGTGGTTAAGACAACTGGAGCAGCCTGACCGTGAAATGGCCACTCCCTGACTCCACTCTGACACAAAAGCAGCCTTTTGTTGTCTGATGCAGCTGAGCCTCATCCTTACAGTACTGAGCTCTGAAATTTACCATTCTTAGACTTATTTCTGAGTAAATGATAGAATACCTACCATCACCACTGAGGGGCTGCCCAGTTGTGCAGGTAAACCCAAAGGTAGACAGGGAGTAGCCCCACTGTAGCCCAAGTGATGAACCATCTTGAGGAGCCCTACCTGCAAATTGTTCCACCTACACTGACGCAAATGCACACCTCCTCTCCCAGAAAAGTCAAGTCAATGTGAGAAATGCAAAGATGACAAGATTGTTAGCTGAAAAGAATCATTTTAAAAAATGAAGGAAAAAATGCAATCATATTTTCAATGCTTCAGTATTCA